CTTGAGCCCAGGAGTTTGAGGTTGCTGTGAGCTAGGATGACACTACAGCACTCTAGCCTGGGCAACAAAGTGGGACTCTGTCTCAAAAAAAAAAAGAAAAGAATTACCTCCACTGACCCAGAGCCAAACAGCTTACCAGAAAAGGAACCTAGGTTTTGGGGTGGAGGGGAGTTTTTAAAAATGCAGAAATGCATTCCAAAGTGGCAGGATTATATTTTTTCAGATCAGCTATGAGCATAATGTGTAATTTTATAGTGTTCATAAGTGTGGGGATGTTAGGAAGGAGTATGGACAATCTGAAAACCCAGGTACCCTTCGGTTAAAGCGAGGACCTGTTAAATATAAAATACTTGTGCACACCAGAACAAACCAAAGGGTACTATGCGACTTACAAAAAGCCTCACGAGAAGGTGCACCTTGAATCCCCACATTCCCTGACTCCTTGCTACTGCCACTGTGATCTGCAGACTAGCAACATGAGATCAGCACCTGAGATTGGTGCATTGTTGGGTGGGTTCCCAACAAAGGAGAACTTCTTAGACATGCAGAATCTCAGGCCAAACCCCAAACCACATCTTAACAATGTCCCCAAATGATTCCTGTGCACATTGAAGTTCGAGAGACACTCTCTAGCTCTTTCAAAATCATTCTATTTACAGCTTGTGAACTATTCACTAATTGGGCAAGGGCTGCACGCAGCATTATTGCAAATGGGCAGAGGTTTTAAAACTCTCAGGGAAAGTTTTCTCTTTATGGGCCAGCCCACTGGAGCACTTTGCACACAAGTATTGCTGCTCCTAAGAGCTCTGGGAATGCAGACTTTCAGCTTGCCTGGGGGTCCACTCACTCCTAACAGGTCTTTAGCGTCAAGGAGATACTGGATTAGACACCTGATTTGGGACTCCAAAGGGAATGAAGGAGGACAGAGAAGAAAAAGGAAAAGGAAGACACCCCAAGCTAGCACTTTCCTATCTGAAGCTAGGATGGGTATGGTGGGCAGGCCAGGTGCCCACCCTTGGCTGGCCAGTTTCACCAGAAGGCTGAGAGATGCCAATGCAGGCTGCTAGGGCCAGAGGAGAGGAACGAAGGATAGAGCAGGTGTGCACGTGGGAGACAGGCCCTCAGGTGGGCACCTCCAAGGTCAAAGGAGAGGGATTGAGGGCTTTGGTGCAGCTAGGCAAGCTTCTGGAGAGAGGGGCTACCAGATAGATAGATAGGGAGAAAGAGACTCTCAGATGTCAGAAGGACAGACAGAAGCTGACAGCAGGAGGACCAGACAGCCAAACGCTTGACTGCCAGGCAGATTCCCCAGGCCGACAAACAGGAAGGGCCCAAGGCCTGACTCACAGGTGCGCGATGCCTGCCTTGCGCACCGCCGAGGAGATGGCTTTGACCGCCGTGCAGAGCGAGTTGAGCAGTTGGGTCATCTCGCCGGTACCGCGGGCCTTCCTGCCCTCCTCCATGACGAAGCGGGTCAGCGTGCTGACATCCGTGTCGAAGGGCGCCTGCTCCGTCATGCTCGGGCCGGGCTGCTGCGCGCTGGGCGACAGGTGCGGGTGGCAGGTGCGGGAGGCAGGTGAGCGCGGCGAGACGTGGCAGGAGGACCGACGGACCTACTGCTGCGGAGTGGCCGCATTGCTGGCAGAGGAACTAGCCCCAGGCCAGGTCTCCGCCCCCCGCCCCCGGGAACACCTCCGCGCGCCACCGCCCCGCCCGCGGGGTCACCGGGTCAGGTCCGATCCTGCTAGCGGGCTCCCTTCCCCCATGCCGCGCCCCGCCCCCACGCGCCACCTCCACTTCCTCGACGTCGCCCGCCACGCCTCCGTGCGGGCGGAGGACTGCCCCCTGCATTACTCCGGGCCACCTGCACTGTCTCTTTCAGTCGCCACAACGACCCTGCCGGGGAGGAAGTCATGATTGCTTCCCCCGCCCCCGCCCCACATATGAAGTGGAAGTTCAGAAAGGTTAAGTAACTTGCTCAACGCTACACAGCTAGTCAGCGAAACCCACTCTCGGGTCCACATTGGCCGGTTTTAGCCCTGCGGCTCCCTCCGCCACCGTCGCTGCCTGCCTCCTGCTCCCTGCCCTCCGTCCGCCCTGCTGGGCCTGTCCCCTGGCTCTTCTGACCCCCTCAGAAGTGAATTCCCCTGTCTCTCACCTGTCTGATGGCCCCGTCCGCACCTAAGGAGTAATTCTGCTCCGTGTGGAGAGCCAGGTGGCAGCAGCGGAGGTGCTGGGAAGTGGTTGGCTTCTGGACATACTCTGAAGGGCAGAGCTGATGGGATTTGTTGACAGATGAGATATGTGAGAGACAGGAGTTTGGGGTGATTCTAAGGTTTAAGCCCTGACAACACGGAAGAATGGAGTTGCCCTCAACTCAGACAAGGAGGACCAAGAAGGGAGTACTTTGGGGGCAGGAGTGATGATTAGGAGCTAATTATGGGATATGCTAAGTTTGAAAGGCCTTCTTGACATCCAAGGGACTGTGAAGCAGACAAGCAGGTTTATGCATCTGGAGTGCAGAGGGCAGGCTCAGGCTGGAGATACAGATTGGAAAGCATCACGGATGGTGTTTCCAGCCCTGAGACTGGTAGACATTGCCCAGGAAGGAGTCAGCTGAAAGCCAAGAGGTGTGATGTCCAGGAAGCCAAGGGAAGAACATGAGCCACACAGGGCTGACCCATGCACCAAATGTTGCAGGTGAGACAGGCAAGAAGAGATCTGAAAAATGACTACTGAATTGATCGTGGGGTCCTGGGGTGGCGATTCTCGTGCCTAGGGTTGTCAGAGGGGGAAGCATGGTGGGACCACCAGGAAAGACGGCTGCTGTCTGCCCCAGAGTGGGCGCTGATGCCGCGACAGAGAGGACTGACCGTCTATGCATCCATTTAACGCTGCTCCTTGAGAAACTTTTCAGGAAGAACACTGCAGTGTGTTAAAAGAAGAAAATAAAAGCCTGGGAAGAGATACATATCCTCAAATATGAAGTCCGAAATGTGATGACTAATATTTTTGGCATAGCACCTAGTCACAGCAGCTCTTTTCAAGAGTTTTCCCCTTTACCTGTCAAGGCTTCCATAAAAGTCATCTAGTCCAACCCAGCCCTCCTGAAGTTTGAAGCCCGGGGATGCCATCCCTGATAAGAGGTGCAGAACTCGGGGTTTGAGTTGGGCAGCCCTGTTTGATTGCCAGCTCCAACCTTCAACAGCCCGAGACCTGGGGCCAGTTACCTAATCTCTCTAAACCCAGTTTGTTCATCCCTAAGGGGGAATGATGGCTCTATCTGGCAGTGGGGCCATCAGGCTGGGAGGAGATGGCATTGGCAGAGTGCTTAGCTCAGAGCCCGACGCAGAGGACACTACATGGAAGAGACTGCTGTCTAGCCCACTTGTTTAACCTTGTCACCCACGATGATGGGAAGCTCATCACCTACAGGACAAACCGTTCTCCCTGGGAATGGGCCACATAGCATGGTGGTCAAGTGCACAGACTCTGGGGCTAGATGGTCTGGGTACAAATCCTGTCCTTGCCACTTGCTGGCTGTGTGAGCCTCTGCAAGCTGCTGAACCTCGCCGAGCAACCACATGCTCATCTGCAGATTGGGGCTAATGACTGTGGCCACCTCATAAGGTTGCTGGGGACATCACACAGGCCATGCAGGTAGCGTTTAAGGACGCTGCCCGGCATGCAGTAAGTGCATACTATGTGAGTGTTTGGTTTATTATATAGATAGCACCAGCTGTCTTTTTCATCAGAACAGAAGGAAGAAGTTCCTGGCCATCAAAAGCCTGAGCCTACGTTTGCCCGGCGTGCAATGATGCCCCCTCCATCACATTGGCAAACTGTGACTAGCTCCTTTCAGGGTCAAGCTGCATAGAGCGCCTCACCTGCGTGTTAGCTAGAGACAGAGGAAGGTGCAGATCGGGAGGAAGGCAGCCACCTCGCCTGGGTTCCTGGCATGTGGGATTTCTCCCTCCCGCCTCCACCTCCACCCCATGCTGAGCTGCTTCTTGCCGCTGCAATGATTTCTCCTCCTCTCCCATCACAGAACACACTCTGATTTCACACAATATTGCAGACTCAGTAAATGCGAGCAATGTCACCAAGCGTGTAACAGCTCTGAATCCTGTGAAGAAACAGTGATCACCTGTTTCCTCGCCTGGCTCCCACCGAGGAGGTCAGTTCTGGTTAGTATCGGAGGCAGGAAGTTGAAAAGTAACTAACAGTCTGGAGCATCCCTCACTGCCCACCACCCACCCCTGAACCCCGGGCACTGCTGCTTACTTCCCCTCTGGAAGGGCAGTTAGGACCACAGGGAAAGACATACCAAGTGGTGCTCCTGAGAGAGGCACTGTAGCAGCATGGCCCTTCCTTAAGTGAATCCCCCAGCTCCTGTGGCCTCGGGGGGCCTCATGCAGATTGTGGGGATAGGACCTGTCATCTCTGCAGAAACTGAAACTGAACAGCTAACATCTATTTAGCACTTGCTAAGTGCCCAGCACTTGCCAAGGGCTTCAGAGGCAACCTTTAATCAAGTCAGCACCCTATAGGGTGGCTTCTAATCAAATCCCTCTCTTTGCAGATGAAGGAACTGAGGCTTTTCAAAGTCAAATAACTTGTCCAAGGCCTACATCCAGCCAGGAAGTGTCAGAGGCAGGACGCAAAGCCTCATCTGTCTGATTCCAAACCCTGTGGTCCTGCTGCTTTCTGGTTCCCTGCAAAGTGGCAGTCCGCCGCCACCACACACCTCCAGGGACAGGCGAGGCTTGACCCCTCCTACGGCACCTTTGAAAATCTGCTGTCCGAATTGTCCACCCATAGCTCCAGAGCTACTGCTTAGGACCATAATCAGTCATTTTTTCAGTCAACAAATAGCTTTTTAGCACCTGCTGTATGCCAAAACTGTACCACATTCTGGGGCTATGGTGATGAACAGGACAAACACATCTCTGTCTACTTGAGGCTTATATTTTTTGTGGGGAGGATAAGAAACAATATCACATAATCGGTAAAGAGACAAAGCCATTTCGGGGAGCAAAGAGTGCTGTAAAGAATGTGAAACAACCCTCCTTTTCTTGGCGGGGGCCGGGTGTAGGGCCCACTCTCCTTTATGGATGGAGGCAGAGGGAAGGGGCTCTGGCCCCTCAGTGTCGCGTCTTCAGTGGCGGGGGCTTCCCTTCCTCCGGTTCTATCCTCAAGCACCAGGGCACCAGGAGAAAAGAGGGGAAAAAAGAACATGAAACAGGGTAATGAGCTTAAAATTAATCAGGGAAAGAAGGACTTTTCTTAGAAAATGACGTTTGTCAGAGACTGAACAACAGCAACAATAAAATAGGGTAGACAGAGAGCTTATAGAAGAAAATATAGAAGAACAAGCAAAGGATGGCACATACAAAGGCCCTGAGGTGTGGCCCAAGGGTGGGTGAAAGAAGAACCACAGGAGATAAGTTGGAAAGGAGGCGAGGACCAGATGATGAAAGACCTCGCAGGTCGCAGCAAGACACTTGGGCTCTGTTCACAGTGCAGAGAGGGGGAGTGGAGGGTATTCAGCCGGGGGTGACAGGACTTATCTCAATGATGTGAGGACAGACTGCAAGGGATCGAGAGCAGAGGCCAGGAGGCCCAGCAGAAGGCACTGGATCCAACCTCTACTTGGTCGCCTGTCAAATATGTGAAGACTGCTGTCGTAGTCCCCATAAATCTTTACTTCCCCAGTTAAATCTTCTCAATCCCTCCAGCTCTTCCTTGTATGGCGAGGTTTTGAGGGTCTGCCCCTCCTGCTCTGGACCCACTGGCTTCTTGAAGCTCCTTGCAACACTGTGCTCTATTTCTACAATTCCTCCTCCTGAGGAATTCACCCACCTGCTCCACCCCAAGCCCCTTGGTCCATTCTTCTAAGAAATGAGCTTTATTTTCTCACCCCTGCTGATAATATTAGAAATGGGCTGATCACTGCCGCAACAGGATGGGGCAAGGGGGAACGCTGAGCCATGATATGGTTGTAATAAACAGCTTGGCCAGCCCCACGGGGAGCTCTGAAGCTATGATGACCCGTCAAAGTTGTCCTGAGTGGGGACACAGTGGCCGAGACCTTGTTAGCTCTGGGCTGCCCTGGGAAGGGGCATGGCATGGAGTGGTGGCTCTCTCCAGCAAAGGCAAATCCAGAGAAGCTGACAGCTAAGCACGGCTGGCTGGCGGCAGTCCCAGGAGCTGGGGAACAAGTTCTGTGTCATCAATGAGGAATTGCTTGGTGTGTTACAGTATCTTCTTTTTTTTTTTTTTTTTTTTTTGAGACAGAGTCTCACTTTGTTGCCCTGGCTAGAGTGAGTGCCGTAGCGTCATCCTAGCTCACAGCAACCTCAAACTCCTGGGCTCAAGCGATCCTCCTGCCTCAGCCTCCCGAGTAGCTGGGACTACAGGCATGCACCACCATGCCCGGCTAATTTTTTTTTTCTATATATTTTTAGTTGTCCAATTAATTTCTTTCTAATTTTAGTAGAGACGGGGTCTTGCTCTTGCTCAGGCTAGTTTCGAACTCCTGAGCTCAAGCAATCTGCCCGCCTCGGCCTCCCAGAGAGCTAGGATTACAGGCGTGAGCCACCACGCCTGGCCTACAGTATCTTCTATCATCATCAAGGACGACTAGGAACTGGGGAGAGA